TTTTTACAAAGCTTAAGACTTTAGACCTTGATGGTAAAAAATCATTGTGTTTTGAACTACCATCCAATGTCGTCGTTGCTTCGAAGTTCGGACTATGAAGGTTTGAAGTGAGGGAATTTTGGGAGTGGGAAGGGGGAAAGAAAAAAAATGGTATGAATATGAAAAGCAAAAATTCAAGAAATTTTTATAATAAACTTACATTAAGAGCATCAGAATCAATTTTTCAAAATCCTTATGAAGTGGGATGACTGTTAAGGGATGGGGCTCTCCATTTCTACAGTATTAGCCGCCCATCCAGGGGTATCCATAAGAGTTGAAATTTTCCAAATACAAGTTCCTCAATTCTTAGAGAAAAAAGATTTTGAGCACTCTAAATATAGACCTTGTTAGAGGTCTAGAGTCATAGTCCGAGAGGGATCCAGTCTCATGTGAAACAAATAGATGGTCCTTAGGGAGTATTGACTCAATGCTATAGAATGGAAGAAAATTTGCCAAATATATGGTTCCTTGGTAGTATTGACTAAATGTTGAATAAATGGAAGAAAATTTACCAGAAGCATGTTGTACATTTACATTATTAGGTAGAATCAAATCTAGAAATATGTTTAAGATTCTTAATTTTGGGGATACAGCCTCTTCAATCTAGTGACTGACAAAATGTCTCAAGAATTAATAGAATTTTTTTTTATTTTAGAAGGTAATATCTAAGCGTTGAAGGGCTCAAAATCGATTTTTTTTTTCGGAAAAATAATCATATGGTGATTATTTGGTAGATCATATCACCCTAAGATTTCAAATCTGAATGATATCACGCGTAGTTCTTTCACCCAAGGGAGTAAGTGAATAGCTTTCAAGGCTTGAATGTAACTATTGGTTCGATCGATCGGTCCCCAATCAATGTATTGTCTAGCCTAAAACAAAAAATTAGGTTTAGTTGAAAATGAGTTAAAACTAATATTTGACTAGTTGTGGTCAATCAAAATGGTTAGTTTTGACCAGTTCAATCGGCTAAACAAAATTTAGTGAAATTTTTAAACTGTTATTTTTATTTTATTTTTCTAAAAACCGATCCGTTCAATTCGATTAGTGGTTGATAATTTTAACTTAACCGATTCCCACACTAGTTCAGTAACCGGTCCGATCTTGATAACACTAATTCAAATGGTTTCAAAAAATGAGTATAACAGGATCAGATTGGGCCCGGTTCATTCCCAAGCATCGTGAATGTTTACATTTTACGAAAAAAAAGAAAAGAGGATAAGATCGAGTTAAAAAACTAAATTGATAAAATAGTGAAAGATGAAAAGAATTATATTTCAAAATATACTGTTTGATTTTCTAAAAAAGAGTTTCTTTAAACCTAATAGTAGTTGTGATTTCCGATCATTTGAAAATGGCGTGCTATTTGTGTTATTTTTCATTATTTTATTAATTTAGACTGTGAGTCTGTGACCCAATATCACAACCATGAAATTGTTTGATAACTGTCGCTTTATGCAAAAAAAAAACGACTATTTTCATGGTCCTTTTAAAAATGTAGAATTGAGGTGCACATAAAAAAATCATCATAAAATGCGATTTTAATGTGGGAAACCCTCTAATTGATCATCTCAACATCGAGATGTATGAATATAAACAAAAAAAATGATTTTGAGTCTTAAAAATAGTGTATCTTGTAACACATTATCTAAACAATCTATTTTCAAGATTTTCATGTGTTTATAGATCTACTTAATTTGAACTATTTTTGATATTTAAATTTTATAATTAGATATCAAAATAGATTCTCAATCTATTCTAAGAATTTTAGATACCAAAATTACATTTATGATAACATTTGGAGGCGCACCTTAAGTTGATTGTTTAAGGTTGCAACCTTATGCAAACCACACCCCTAATTTATAGGCAAACTCTTTCTTCAATAAAAATATAAAGACTCTAAAGAGTATCAGAGCATCATAATAGAGTTGCATATTGTAGTAAATTGCCCAGTTCATTGTATGTAAAAAACATTGGAGAACTATCTTATATTGTCTAGAATGGAGCAGTTAACTGTAATTCATTATAGAGACTCCGGCCATTTATGAGCCCTAATTATTATTATTTTTTTATTTTTTATTTTTTTTTCTTTTTTTACCGTCTCGAGATGATAAGAAAGGTGATGTGGTTCATGTAGAAGGCTTTAAAAGGGTAAAAGAAAGGCCCAAAAGGATATAGATGGAAGTAGTGAAAAGAGCTATGATGACTTATGGTTTAAATGAAGGTATGATCTTTGATAGAGCAAAATGACATAACATGATTTTTGTAGCAAATCCCAAATAATTAAGATAAGGCTCAAATGATGAGATGATAGTTTAGATTTGAATATACCAGAATAACCAAGTTAGCTTTATAATTGGCAAGCTGATTTGCCCAACTATGGCCCGACTCAGTAGTTTGTAAAACAACTATGGCCCGGCTCAGTAGTTGGTAAAACAGTGCAGCCAACACAAATTAAAAAGATAGCGATCCGAATTGAAATTGGCTGATCTAGATAAAAAATCTGTCAGGCTGATTTGGATCTCGTAAAATATCGGGGAATCGGCTGGTTCTCTATGTGAAGCACCCGGTTCAGTTAGAGAACCGGTCACATTTGCCACCACATTTATTTTTATTACTTTTAATAATTTTAAAATTTTTAGTAGCCAATTCACTTTGCCAAAGTACTGATCCGAGCCACTGATCCACCAAACCAAACCAGTTTCCAAATTGGCGATTCGAGTCACCAATCTGTTTTTTTAAATCATATCCAACCATTGAATACCTCCTCTCTTTTACCAACTACAACTGTCCTTTAGAAAAGGGAACGCACCCTCGTGAAATTTGAAATTTAGTACGGGCCTAGATCATGATTTGCACAAAAAGTCGGATACCACAAATGCATTTCAGACCAAGTTAAATGCACTGTATCACAAAAAACCGTAATGGTGGTGGATTGCACTTTCCACACTGTCCAACACACCCTTTATTTAGAAGACTCGTCATATATTATTCAGCTACATTTTTTAAAAGGACACGGTTTCTATGAGTCCATGTAGAAATGAGTCGACTCTTAAAAATTTATTTTTGAGATGGATTTTTTAACCCAATTTTTAAAATGTAATCTCTAACATGGAGATTATGAAAATAAATAAATAAGTAAATTAAAAAAAATAAAATAATGATTTTAGAAAGAAAACATTTGGCATGTTAATTTCAATTGTTTTTAGATGGACCACCTGTTTGAGGTGGATGCTTTATACCTTGGGCCTGCATGTTGTAGAAATGCGGTCCAATGCCACATGAAACAATTTTCCATTTGTAGCTCATCCAGGACGGTACACCTCATCTACCATGAGATGACCTGCCTTTTTCTATGTATTTGTAGGTTGAATACAAGTGCCCAGCTCCTCTTTGTGATAGCATATCTATGTTCTTATAAAAAACTTATTAATATTTGCCACTTGCTCTAATTTCATCAGCCTTACCAGCAACGGTTCCTTAATTTATAGTCGGTTCAATAGCATTTTTCAAAAATTTTCTTTTTTCCAAGAGCTTTAATTGAAAGTTTTGGGCTATTTCAAAATATGCAACAATTTTGAAACTTTCTTTGGGCATGAGGTTAATTCCAATCATATTTAACTAAGTAAACATATTAGGCTACCAAAAATGGGCAATAGGAGCACGAGATATAAGAAATGTAAAAGGAAATTCCAAAAGAAATTCTAAGCATTTTCTTTCCTTAAAATAAAAAATTGTCAATGTCCAAGGTTCCTCATAGATTTTCTCAATCACAAAATTTCACAAATTGCAGTCCTTCCACTGCTGAAACTTGGTTTGTTTTCTTTCAAACACGCGCGCTCATGCCCACCCACACACATTCGGATTAAAAGAATAGTGATGTATAATTCAGTGAACCCCTGAACCAAAGCACATGAGCAGAAAAGGACAATATGAATGGCAACGAAGATAACAAGAGAATCATTATAAAATAAGGAGACTGCTATAAAATGAGTGAAACGACACAATTCATGTATTAAAGAAATAGACATACAGATTGAAAGGATCAAGCATAGACCAACCCAAGAACAGCTAAACCAAAGGACAGAAATACAAATAGGACAATGGCATTGTTAGCTTGGCGATGAAGATAACATGCCCATTGAGAAACAAGAGGACAATTCGATGAAACAAAAGACAACAAAGGTCTATATAAAACAAATATCATTAAAAGTTTATAAAATGAGAGAAAAGACACAATTTGTGTATTAAAAAAATAGACATAGATCAACCCATGAACAGCTAAACCACAGGACAGAAATACAAATAGGACAATGACATCGTAATCATGGCAATGGATATAACATGCCCATCGAGAAACAAGAGGAGAATTCAATGAAACAAAAGAAGAGAAGAAAACAAAGGTCTATATAAAACAAATATCATTAAAAGTTAGAACTCTTGATCATGGATACGATGAGATTGCAGTGAAATGAGTGAGAAGACATGGTCTAATATTAAATAGAGATATGGATTAAGAGAACTGATACCAACAACCAGTTTGGCACACAAATAAGAAAATGAGAATGCCATTATCTTTAAAGCATTATAGAGAGCACACCTAATAGAAAAAGAGAGTAAAATGATATGAAAAGATAGAGAAGGCGCCACAGATCTGTATTATAACGTTAAAACACACATCAACCAATGAACAACAAATCTAACGCAGGCTAGTAGAAAAGGAAAATGTCAAAATGTCACCACTATCAAGTAAGACGAGAGCAAAATAAAATAACAAATACACCCATTATCAAAGACGAATGAGAACTCTTTGGTTAAGTCAAGTCCCCACGTAAGTCCAACTTCTTTGTTTATTCTTGTTTTCTTTTTTTCTTGTTATTCATGGATCCATAAGCCCTTCTTATGAAAGTCGCTCGTGAGGGTAATAAAACATTCATCATAAAAGAAATAAGAAATTTTTTTTGAACACATGTTATGATCATATTATTCCATCTATGTAATGTGACATTTAATTGGGCCTAAACACCAGGGTTCAGCACCTTTGCTTGGTCAATATGCAAGGTTCGAACTCCCAATTCTTCAACCCTCGGATAAAATGAAAAAAATAATTCTAAATCCAAAAAACATGTACTTCATACTTCCGATAGGGGCCTCTTTCTATTAAAATTCCATGATTCATGCCATTGATGCTCCTTCAAATAGGCAGCTCATGAGTTATAAGGTAACAGTGAGCTCCATAGTCTAACTATACAAAGTATGAGAACGTTGAGATCAAACTTACCCAAGATTTCCATTTCGCAATTGAAGCCATTTCAAATAGGTAAAGCTCATGAGTAAAGAAGCTAACAATGAGCTCCAATGTCTGATCATACAGAGTATGGGATAACTGAGATCCAACTAATCTAAGATTTCACTTGGCCAAAGCCTCATCCACATGGAGATTTCCTCCTTGCTATGAAGTTTTCTAATTCCACCATAAAAACCATCGGTTTCATTCCCTTCTTCCCGATGATCCTTCCTATTTATGACGGTCCGCCTCCACCTTGAACCAGGTGTGTACTGGTTAAATTCCAGTATCACAGTATCTGCCAATAGCATCTTTATCAGAATCTTGTATCTATATTAATGAAGCAACAAAAGTCATCAAATAGAAAATGATGCCATATTTTGAGCCACTAATGGCAGACGGCTAGCTCAAATTCTAAGTGCAAGTGCATATATAGGAAATTAACAAAAGAAGGTAGGCATACAATTTAAGAATTTAAAATTCAAAATATCAGTAACGGCAGAGAGAAAAGAGGAATAGATAATGATGTGACATGTTCAAGATACAAGCCAGCTGCAGTCTTCAGTGAGCATGGGTTAAAGAATCCTTGATATTCAATCAGATAATCAGTATTGCTACACACTTCTTATCTTATATGATGTGAAGGATTGATCGGAAAGGATGTTAGAATATACCTGTTTCCTTTTTCAGGTATCCATAGTCATAGGTAATGTGAAAAATATATTTTTACATAATAATCATGCAGTAAATTATTTAGTTTCTTGAACCTATGATCATCCATATTAAATGTGTGATTAAGAATTTTCTTACCATTAGTGAGGCAACGACAATTGTACTTGTTCCTGTCACATGAGTCTAAATGCCCCACAACTCCATACCACCAACCTGCCATACAGAAATCAAACAAAAATTATCAGATCATATGGCTAACATGTTACCCAATTCCTGTAAAAAGGTTAACTAAAAGTAATTATGCATATTACAAGAATCATCAAGATGAGAAATTGCACCGTTCGTCCATATTATGAAGCCTTCAATCAACTTGTTTCCATTTCATAAATGAGATTGTAACTTTTTCTTCAATTTAAATTTTTCTTTGATTTCTTTTTTCAATTCCTATTCTTCATCTATTTTCAATTGTTCTTCTGTGTTTTGACCAAGGAACATGATTAACAATCAGAGATATCAAAAGTTAAGAATCAAGATAAACTTATCGCACCATATGGAAACTCTTTGTTCCTCCTCCACTGAATCTCAATATGATTACCAGGACGTAAATCATTTAAGCAATCCGAGACATGGAGATCATGAGGTGGAGTATCAACAGGTGGTGCTCTCAGCCTGTCCCACTGCACACCTTCCTCAATCACAATTGTGCGTCGCCCATGAGGTGGGTACCTGTAAATTAAAAAATCTTAATCCACAAAAATGACCCCTTCTAATAGATCCCCAAAGCATGCAAAACAATACAAGGATCACATAGACCGATAATAACTTCACAATAGTCCCAATGAAATAGGAGAAAAGACACAGCCCGCATGCAAATAATCGTGCTGGACTCGCAATCTTTTTTCTTTTTTTTTCTTCAGTCAAATTAGGTTGTTCAAATTAGTAATTATTTTACTAAATAACGCACACACTATTTATTGAGCACCACTATTTATATGCATGCTATTTGTGGGTGCAAGTCCATTCAAATATTATGTATGGATTCCAGCATTCATGACCTGAACATTTCCTATAATGGGTCATTTGGATATCTGGAAATATATTGTCTGTGAAATATATTACGGGCGTAATACATTACCTGCAAATTGATTGTTACTGTTTAGGCAGTATTTAGATGCAACCTGAGAAATACATTACTACTGTTTCGCTATGTTCGGAAGAAATATGGAAAATGCATCACTTACATTTTACCAGCACTTGCCTATTTTTTTTTTTGTGACAAAATTCCACTAAAATGCGGAATTAAAATCATCATCACACCATTCCAAAAATATTTTCCAATGATAACATCATCACCATTCCAAAAAGATTTCTAATAATAACTTGTTGTATTCTAAAGTCATCATGACACCATTTCCTACTTATTTTGCTCGAAAAAGATTTTCTAATAATAACTTGTACCATTCTAAATTCATCATGATACCATTTCTTACTTATTTTGCATGCCTTTAACACTTACATGGAATCATGTGTCTTCTAACATAATTAGGCTTTGGTTTCAACATGATAAGTCATTGGAATAACATGATTTTATTGTGATAAGCCTTATTTTTATTTATTTTTTATAGAAGTCTTTTAAATGTCTCTATATAATTTCAAATAACCAATAAATGTATGATACCAAATTCAAAATCTTTATAGTACAAGTTAAAAAATAGGAAGAAGTATGATTAATGAACTAGAAGGTTTGGTAATTGCAGTAGAAAATTTTGAGGCATTGGAAAAGACTTAGCTTTTACTAATCTCTTATGAGGATTATGTTGTGTGAAATTTTTTATTATGATTGTGTTGTGTAATTTCTCATTGATTACCAATTATTATTTTTATTATTTTTGTTTTTATATGAGAGCTGGTGGCTTGAGGGCTATAACCCAAGGGTAACTTAAACACTTAATTGAGTTTAGAAAAAAAGTAGAAATAGATGTGGCAAGAGAGGGAAAATGGCGGGAGAATATATGTGCTCTAGAACGAAAGTAGAAATGGAGAATGGCTGGAGAATAGATGTGCTTTAGAGAAAAAGTAGAAATGGATGTAAGCAGGAGAGAGGGAGAATGGTGGGAGAAGAAAAGTAGATAGAGGATTTTGGCTATAGAAATGGCGGGAGAATAGATGTGCACCAGAAAAAAAGAATAACGGTAGATAGAGAATTTTTTTGGGTAAGAGATGATGTAGTTAGATTGCCCATTAAACGCTTAATAGATTCCGTTAAGCGTATAGATTTCACAGCCGAATGGATTTCACCACCATTATGGTGGTGATAGATTTCATACCTTGCGTGGAAGGTGTCAGTGTGAGAATCATAACTCAGCTCAGCATCATAACAGGAAAGCATAAACCCCACATGCCCATGCTGCATCAGAAATAGAGAAAACTTTATGAGAAGATATTAAATTAAAGTTTCTCTAACAGAAATCTAAATCCAGGTAAGAATCAAAACATCCAAGAAAGAGAATAGCAATCTTACCCATATACACGGAGCATATGAAATGTCATAATAAGCATTATTAGGACAAACAAGTCTTGAACTGCCTTACCGAAAAAAATGATCCAGAGAAAAAAATATATATCAACAGAAAACAGAATTATGAAGCCATTTTCTTTTAGAAAACTGAAGAATAAGGCTAATCAAATTAAACAGACCCATAGAAAACTGAACAGGGGAAATCCAAAGCAAGGCCCCCAACCATATGAACAAAGTTTCGGTGTAACTTGAGCCAGATGAAGCCATCAGAAAGGAAAATGACAAGAAATGATCTTACAGGTAAAAGTGCTGATCCAAAAGTTAAAAGACCCTAATTGTTTTGGAGGATGGGCATGTAGAAGTGGAGTCAAATCTCAAAGAAATAACTGATCCGACAAATAGAGGAATTTCAAAGGTAACATTAAAATGCTAGGAACTCCAATATCCACGCAAAAGATTGCAGATTTGAGCCAAGCTACAAATAGAATAAAAATTAAATATTATAAAAATTGGATGGTTTGAAAGAATTACCTCACGGTTATACACCTGAGCAGGGAACCAGAACCTGCCGTTCTCTAGAGATAGATACCATGCCATGATTGAATCAGAAGGAAGAGTACTCTTCGGCTTCCCTCCGCTCACAAGCTTTGATTTAAGCCATGAAACAGGCCAAATACAAGCGAGAGAACCAATCCACCCCTTCGATTTCCCCTGATCTGAAACACCCAGATCCTTTCTAAGTGAAACAAACGATTGCCATTCCTTCAAAGCAGCAGGCCCAATTACTCTAGCCCATTTTTCCTTCATATGTCTCTCCCAAAGATGGTTACTCCTACACCTCTCCCTCATAGAACTACAGATGGCGGCCATGTTACAGAGTCCTTCGGGTGGAAGCCTACCCAATATACCTTCAAGGACTAATTCAGGGAGATCTAAGACTGATAACTCATCCGTTTCATCCACATGCTGCACTTTGGGAGTGCTCTTTCTCCTAAGAGACATTGTAGATTGAATCGCTCTGAACCCAATTTGGCTTTTTGGCCAATTTATAATTAAATTGAAAGATTTTTGAAAGAACCCAATCCTTGAATTAGAAATGGAGAGCCATTGTTTCAGAGATTTCAGAGACAGAGATTTTGATAGCAGGAGGAAAGAGAGGCAAGATAGCAAGAACAAAAGCATCAGATAAGGAGATTCCTCAAGGTGCTTCCAATATATATGTTGACATAAAGGGGAGAGCTTTTTTGTGCCCAATTAAAGATTGCAGAGCTCAGATTAAGATGGTTATTTGGGGTGCGCAATAGAGATTATGATAAACAAAAAATGGGGATTCGGAAAAAGTAGCAGATCTACAGAGAGAAGATACCTTGTGGATATTTGCAGAGGAGGCCCCTCTGTGAAAGCACCTATGCTAATTCGTCATAGCCCACTAAGAACCAGTAGTGGGCCTCAAAAGAGAAGGCAATCTTAGACACCCAATTCCTTTTTCTTCCTTCTCTCTCTAGTAGTAAAAAAGTTCCAATTTTCTATCTCTTGAAAGATTAGAAAAATGTGGTAGTTCCTCCAGTGAATCAAACTTATGCTTCCCCACTCTCTCTCCAGATCAAATAAACAAATATCTGGACAATGATTTACAGGCACCCAGTATGTAGTCCAGCGTCTAGAGAGAGAAAAAAAAATCTTTGAGACTAATTTACAGAGACCCAATGCTTCACGCAGCCACTAGAGAAAGAGAAAACCAAACACCACAAAAATTTGCTAAAGTCTATTGGGAAAAACCTTATCTTTGCACACCTTTGAAACTCTCTGCTCAGGCTCTAGAGTGAGAAACAGTCATCTAAAGTGATATCTCAATTACTACACTCTGTTTCTTGAGAGAGACGCAAAAAGTGGTACTATCTGATTTTCACCAATGAGATCTCTGGTGGAGATTAAAAGTCCAATAAATAGGGGTCTAAATTCGGGCCAAATGCAATGAATGCCAGTGAATTGAACATTCAATCAGTTTCAGTCACTGACTTCTCTTTCCAATGCCGGCCATATATAGAACAAAGAGGTGCAACAACTGTCAAATCTTAGCCTCAAGAATCGTGGCTGCCAAACCCACAAAGGGATCCAAAACCCTAAACCCCAAAATGTGTCTTAGTGAGGCCCCTCCACAAAGAGGGGAGGAGACATACAGAGAGAGACAGAAAGAGGGAGAATCTTAGAGGATACAGAGAGAGAATGGATGATGGGTTACAGTCTGGAAAAAGTTTCAAATATGGGGGTTTCAATATATGGGTTCGGTTACTGACACATGAACCAGAACCCCATTTCTTTATTCTCCATGCCCCACAATCTTATACCAGCAAATCTTCAGGGAATTCGGTCCCATAAAGAAAGACCCACCAAAGAGATTTTAAATCAACGGAGAGAGAGAACCCAACAAAAAATTCCAGACCAGAACCCACAAATGAATTTTTCTAAACACTATTCCACCCATCCCCCCAAACAAAGAGAAACCCACCAAAAATTTGGAGAAGGAACCAAGAAAAAAAACCCAGGAGAGATAGCCTAGAGAGAGCACAGATTGAGTGCAAGTTCCAATTAAACTAAGAGAGAGACTGCCACCAAATTCTGCAGAGAGAGATATAATGACTGGAGATGGAGGAGGAGATGGACATGAAGTGGGTCCACTCAGTCCATCAACCCTTCACCGCAATCCACCAAATCTCTCTCTCTCTCTTCTGCTCTCGCTTTTCCTCTATAACTCACTGTAGAGAGAGAAAGAGATGAGGAAACAAGTGATTTTAAATTCTCATGGTTATGGGTGGCCTAAATTCTAGGGTTTTGGTTGGGTCAGGACCACCCACCTGCTTCAAATTCGCAACCAACCATTAGCGGACACCTTCCTACTATCATTCAAAGAAACAGAAAAAAACCAGGAAAATCAAGCCATTGAATTGGACTGTCAATATGGAACCCTTCAATGGACAGGAGGCGAATACTTAGCCGTTGGTTTGGGGTTCACTTATTGGTGTGGGTCAGAGGCCCTACAAGGGAAGCTTCTCACTTCTTCTCACTAACTTTCTCGCATCCTTAACATGTCGGAGGAGAGAGAAAGTTGATCAAATACCCTGTTTTTTATACACAAGTGAATACTATTAAAAACCTCTGATTAATTGAAAAAAGGCTTTAATAATGATGAATAATGCCAATAACTCCCCCGTGTGTGTGTTTTAAATGAGTAATTTAAACTCTCATCCACCCAAAGTTATGTTATTTAAGAAATTACTAAAAAAATTATGTTATTATATGTTGCATTTATTTTATTTTATTTTAAAAATATGTCATTGCCTCTACTTTGGATCTCAAAGAAGTTTAATAGTTTGTAATAAAGGTCGGTATTGTGTCTATTGCATGGATGCTCAAAAAGTGCACAAGCACCATTTAATGGTTCAGATTGAACTATCCTAATCCAAGGGCTACAAATAAATTTTGTTTTTTATTTTGTATTTTTATTTAAATATGATATTGATATGAAATTTGGGTTTTAGCCTCATTTTAATAATTAGAATCAAATAAAATAATAAAGATATATTTTGAATAAAAACTATTGATCAAAATAAATTTAAGATATTTTTGTTTTTTTAAATCATTTTTATTTAATTATATATATATAAAATAGACCTACACCCAAAAATTATATAAATTTATTTAAATAAAAAAAAAAAAAGCAATTATTGACCGTTAGATCTAGACTGGGATACTTTTCTCTACATCATGTAGACATGATACTTTTCTCTGCAATAAAACACTTGGACCTCTTTTTAGATAATTATAAAGATTAAAATACTTTGAATCTTCAAAATCCGAACTTCTCTAAATACCATAAAAATCCAAAGTTTCCTGTACATTCTACTTGCTGGAGACCATAGAGAACTTCGGATTCTCAAAATCCAAAGTTATCTAAACTTCGGATTATGAAAATTCGAAGTTCTATATGTATACAACTTGCCTTCGGCACTTGCTAGGGGCCATAGAGAACTTCTACAAAGAACTTCAGATTTCTAGAATCAAAATAAGGGTAGTTTGAGAAAAAAATAAAATAAAAAGTAAAAAATGGGTATGAATGTATTTAATGAATTTTTTTTAATTACAATAATTTACAATGACATGCATGTAAGTTACTCTTTTGAAATTGACCATTCTGGCCTTGGTATGGAATTTTAGAGAGAGAGGAACTCTTTTAAGAAAAATAATTGTGCCCCACATGATTTTGTGGTGGTTCTTTTATTGTATATATAATGGTAATACAATTGTGTAATACGCACTTTCCCATCTTGTTACATGCAATATACACTTTTTTATCTTGTTACATTTTCATCTTAAAAGGAAAGGACAATATTTCTATTGTGATCTTTCCAAAAATTGGAATTGGATATTGTTTCTATTACTACCCCTCAAACTCGGTTGAGGAGGCATTTGAACCTTGAGTTTGAAGCACATATATTGGAAAACATCTTGTCTTAAAGGCTTGGTGAAGATATCGGCTACTTGATTACGAGAGGAAACAAAACGAGTGATACGTAATCCAAGTGTAACATTTTCACGTACAAAATGATAGTCCAACTCAATGTGCTTTGTCCATACATGAAAAACAAGATTAACTGTCATATAAAGAGCACTAATATTGTCACAAAAAAGTGTCGGTGACTGAGGAAGAGGCAACCCAATACTCCGAAGAATAAAAGAAAGCCATATCAATTATGTAGCAGTGGATGCTATAGATCTATATTGCGCTTCAGCACCAGAACGAGCCGACTGTTTCTTAGCACTCCAAGATATTTAGTTAGAACCAAGATAGGTGCAGAAACTAATAGTCGAACGATAAGTGGTTAAACACCCATCCCAATCTGCATCAGAGAAGGCATATAACCGAAGGGGACTGGCAGATAATATTATTAAACCACAAAATTGTGTACCATTGAGATAACGAAAAATTCGTTTAATTACCTGAAAATATGCAATTATAGGGGCATGCATGTGTATTAACACTATAAAAAAGATCTAACCGTATTATGGTAATGTATTGGAGTGCACCAATAATTCTTTGATAAAGAGAAGAATCAGGAAATAAATAAGAATTCCCAGGAATATTATTCTTTATTGCCATTGCTGTTAAAATAGGTTTGACATTGAACGTTTGAATACGATCAAGAAGATCCCGGGCATATTTACTTTGTGATAGTAAAATCTCACCTAAAAAATAAGATACCTATATGCTCAAACAGTAGTGAAGAGGTTCAAGATCTTTCATTGCAAATTCCTTCTCAAGTTGGGAAATGAACAAATCTAGAAGATCAATAATATCATCAACATAAATGAGAAGGATAATAGTGCCTTGAGTAGTGGGATAAACAAATAGAGATGAATCAGCTATGCTGCAATAAAACCCCAATGATAATAAATAGGAACTAAATTAATCAAACCATACCCGATGTGCTTGCTTGAGACCATATAAAGCTTTTTTTAATCGGCAAACATGATTTGGATATTTTGAGCTCACAAATCTATGAGGTTTTCCATATATACAAGTTCCTTACAAAGCCATATAGGAAAGTATTTTTCACATCAAGCTGTTTGAAAAGCCAATGGCGTACAGTAGCTATTATGAACGCAATCCAAATATTAGCAGGCTTGATAACATGACTAAATGTTTTAGAGAAATCAATTCTAACAACCTGATTGTGTCTTTTAGCAACTAATCCGGCCTTAAGTGTCTCTAAACTTCCATCAGATTATAATTTAGTCTTATAGACCCAACGACCACCAACAACAGTTATATCTGAAAGACGTGAAACTAGCTTCTAAGTTGAATTAACATGTAGGGCTTCAATTTCTTCTTCCATCGTATGATGCCAACCTGGATGACCCAAGACAGACTTAATAGTTTTAGGCTCTTAAGGGATAGCTTAAAAAATAGGAGCATTTGAAATTGCTGTCATGGAGGGGAGAATCTGAGGTCTTCTAGTACCATCTTGAGATCTTGTGACCATGTGATGATGACGATGCTCAGAGGCTGGTAAAAAATTTGTTTGATTGGTTTCATGAGTGGCAATATGTCCATCACCATGATTGTATGTTGCATCATCCTAGATATCTTGGATTGGTGTTGCAGTGGTGATATCTTCCTCTACAAGAGAAGTTGAAGGACCATCATTGGTGATGAGCAAAGTAGGACCTGAAGAGTCAAATACATCAAGGAAGTCTTTTATAGGTGGTTTATGTGGAGGTGATGAATTAGAAGAGGAAGGAGTTTGTATATCAAACTAGTAACAATCTCATCATTTTGCATAGGTGGATAGCTCCCAATAAACTTGAGCACTATTAAACAAAGAATTAGGGTTAATATAACGATAAATATTTTCATCAAATACAACATGTTTATAGATATAGACTGGACCTATGGGTGGATGTAGATATATGTAGCCCTTATGTTGGATACTACAGCCCAAGAATACACATGGAAGAGAGCGGGGACTAAATTTGTTTGCAGCATAGTTTCGAAGATATGGAAAACACCGACAACAAAATACTGGAGGAGATGAGTAGTCTGATAATCGTTCAAACAATAATGAGTATGGTGAATCCATCTTTAAATTGGTAGAGGGAATTCTATTGATAACAAATACTGCAGTATAAAAGGTTTCAACCAAAAAACATTTAGGAATTCTTGCATGAAATATCATTGTAAAGCCCAATTCTACAATATTTATGTGTTTCCTTTCAGCTATTCCATTTTGCTCAGGGGTTCCTGGACATGATAATTGTTGTGTGATTCCATTATCATTAAGATGAGCAATAAATTCTTTTTTAGCAAATTCACCACCTCCATCACATTGGAAAACTTGAATTCTTTTATCAAACCTCCTTTCAACCATATGATGAAATTTCATAAATGTAGCTAAAAATTTAGATTTTCGTTTCAAATGATAAATCTAAGTAAAACGAATATAATCATCAACAAACACTATATAAAATTGATAAGTCTGATTAGATAAAATTGGAGCATGACCCCATATGTCTAAATGAATATTAAAGAGAACTCCAATGGAGGTTTTATCAACACCACTGAAAGGAAGCTTACAACTTTTTCCCATCTGACAACTAGCAGTAACAGAATTTATTCTATGCATAAATATTAATCAATTGTTTAGATTATAAGTAACGAACAACTTCATTTTGGGGATGTCTAAGACGTTGATGCCAAATATCTTCTAACGTTCTTTTATTCTAATTAGAGAATAAAACTTGTTTCACTTCTTCAAGTGCATACAATCCTCTCTTTCTACTCCCGCATGCCAGAGTTCTCCCTGTGCTCATTTCCTTAATTAGAAAACTATTTGATGATAACTAAAAATACAAGGAAAATCTGTTATAAATTAACCAACAGATAATAGGTTCTTTTTCATTTCAAGCACCAAGAGGACATAAGAAACATTGAAATTTTCAGAGTCAATAGCAATATTTGTATCACCAACATGTGAAATAGTTAATTGTTCATCATTCCCAACCATGACTCTATCTGTGCCTTTATATGGACGAATATTTTGTAACTTGCCTAGATTTCCTGTCATATGAGTGGAGGGACCTGTATCCGAGAACCATTCTGAGTCTTGTGAATCAGCTATAGTCATTGCAGCAAGGGCCTGAGAAATATCCTCTACTTGGTTCATGTAGTTGAATCGATGCCAACACTTCAATACAGTATGTCCAAGTTTCCCACAAATTTGATACTTTTCCCAAGGTGTCTGAGCTAATTGTTGTATCTGAGAATCTTGTTGGAAGCCTTGATCCATGTGTCGCATAGGAAGTGTATCACCACTTTCTTGATTTTTTCGAGGCATCGCACGACCCCCATTATTGATGTGGCTAGTTTGAACAAAATTATGTCCTCGAGACTTGAAGAAACG